TATAGGAGTCTGATTTTTCGTTTCTGAGATCTGGATGACGAAATAATACGTAGCAGAAGAAGTAAAGACAACAATAACAATAGGATTTTAAACCACATAAGTGGAACAATAGCTACACCATTATATACAATGGACATTGGCACAATGATAAATGCTTAAAGAATGAATGCATGCATCAATCTAAATTATGCCTTTGTTACATGTGTGTAATTTTAATTTGGTTAACCTGTACATGAGATGGTAAAATTGAATATTGCTGTTGTTTTGTGTTCATATTTGACCTAAACCTGTGACCTCGTGACAATGATATAAGTGTCAAAAGTAAGACATACAGTAACATTGCAATTAAGTTTTTAAAAATGCACTAATTATACAAAAATGTTCCGACACACAATACAATTATTGCCACTCGTCACAAAATGTATCTTGTTTACAAAAGACGATCAGGGTAAACAACTAAAATTTGCTTCACACATGCACCCTTAAATTTTCGTTAAGAACCAGTTATTTAGAGAAGCTAACACACCATCCTAAAACTGTGCAGTTAGCGTCTAGCATATGAGAGTATAATGTATTTCAACAACTAAGAGTAAACAACTAGATATCATTGAATATAATAAGCCATATTGAAATACACCTTTGCAAAACTGACCAATTACACAATTATGTACTCCAATACACCGTCTGCCAATCGCTTATAGTTACCACCAATGACATGTTCTAGTTGGTTACAAGACAAATGCGAGTGAACAATTAATTGTCACTCATAAAAAATAAGACAAGCACCCACACTATGCACACGCTCACATACACTCTCCCACTCCGATGTCCTCAATTGCATGATACCATTTGTCAGATTGGACAGGTAGTCATACTAACAATATCAATCATTACAATGTATAATAATGAAAACAAAATACATTGACTCCAGAAATATGTGGACTTGGTTACACTCCAACAGCATGAATAAAAGTCAGAAAACGAGATAATATATTTATTGCATTTAGATATTGACTCAGAGAAAGAAAATTACAATAGAGACGAAAATGGCGGTGTTACTAGCTTTTTCTCTGAACGAACTTACTGATCGTCAAAAGAAAGCTTTTAGTGCTGTATCTGTGGTAAATGACGTGTTTGTTGCAAACACAGTCGCTAGGAAAATACCGAATCGGACAAGTTGATATGTTAACAGTTTTGTCAGTTTACTAAAACACAGTTTACACAAATATTTAAACATCTCTCATTGCTCATTCACTTGCTCACAAATAATTTCCACAGTTGGAATAAGACATTTTGAAAACGTGTCAACGAATAAAGATCTTCTGTTCTTGACTCCAGGTGAATCAGCAAAACATACACGCCACCATTGTTTTAATCTGTGATGAGCTCCTCGATCTTCACATTTAAGATACAGCAATTTTGATTGGTGGCGCTAGCTCCTTGGCGCGCCCAATAAAATGACTCAATTTAGGTGCAGTGAAATACAGCTTTTCTTAACACGGTCGGCTTTAGCGAAACTGTGCGATTCGAACGATGGAATGGTTTAGTCCAATGAATCTACAAAATAATCACTGATATATGACAGAAAATCATATTTTTAAAAGCTTTGTATTTGTTCTAGTATTTGAGATTGGCGAGCTCATGTATATAGACAAATATTATATACACAATTCTTGTGAATGAGGATTTTGTAATAACTATTTATATTCTGCAATTTGTATTGCAAAATTATCGATATTATTATTAAGGTAAATAGTTTAAAATTACGACTCACTGTAATACTCGCACACATAACCCCAATTTTGCTCTGTGCATGAACCGTCATTCCATTGAATGAATATATAAATTACATTGTATGTGTTCTCTGCAATACTTACAAGTTGACAGTTTAATAACATTAGGTGTCATTATAAACTGCAGTATTTACTTATACTTTCCCATTGTTCTAATCATGGTGTTTATTTTCGACAGTGAACTGTTTTCGTTAAGCGTGCTTTGTAGGTTTTTACTACTCGCGTTTGCTTGTTTCTATGTTGTAAGAAATGACCGTTTACTTGGAAAGGGTTCTTTTATTGAAAACATGATGTTAGTGGAGTTTACAACTAATCAATAACTACTACATTCGATTCCATTTAACAATGTCCACTTTTTTTTTCTCAAACATTGTTCACATCATTTATAAAAATTTAACTCACCTGTCGCGTTGACATTCTCAAAGCTGCACATCAATGCCAAAACCACTGCTGACCAACAAGTAAGAAACATCATTGCTAAAAAAACTGTGTCAGATTTGGATAATATACCAAATTCCGTCTTGTTTTGGAATTGTGTGAAACTCTGTACTGTTCAGTGGACTCGCCAAATTCAGATTGTGCCACAGAATAACGACACAATTCTAGAGTCACGTGATAATACTTCGACCTCTATTTTACATATTCAGTACATGCAGTGACATGTACCAATACTTGTTATGTCTCGTATTACATTAGTTCAAGTGCTACTATTTGAGTCAAAATTTCAACAAAATTACCTGCCAATAATAAATGGCGATAATGATAGCCGGAAAAAATACGTTAACGATAAACTTTGAGCATGTCATTTTTTCGTTATATCACGTTAATACTAAAAAGAAGACATCATTTGTAAGGCAAATAAAAACCCTTATTTTGCCAGCAAACACGGCAGTATTCACTTGATGAAATTCAAGAATTTATATATGCATACAGGTAAACTCGTATTTTCTGTACAACAAAATATTAATTGAAGTTGCAGCTGAAACCTAAACCATTACTTAAAATATTCCCACATTTTGCAATATCTGTACAAATGTGATACCACAATAAACTCATTAAAATACATTTTAAGCGGCATGTTTTGTTATATTTAATGTGTATTCTTGCTCATAAGTGTTTATTTCTGAAAAAAATTATACATACATGCGTTATCACGGATCACCTGGTACATTCTCTCACTGTGAATGTAATTGTAAGTCTTCCAAATGGACTTTGAATATAGTGATATTTCGAGCGTTTAGCCCAAGTTATGCGTTCGCGCACACTTTGTTAACCGTACTAAGGGTATAAACTGGGTCTATAAAATGGGTATATAGACTGAGTCTATAAAAATGGGTTAGATTTAGCCCGTACCATACCGTAGCACAGGCTAACGTTTCTGCAACTTATGTATGCGTATATATTCAACAATCTAAAAAACGCAAAACGTGATATCATTACAGTCAATATTTACCATGATGGGATATTTGGGAGTATTATGTATCACTAAAAAGTTTTTCGTACCAAATATAGTGTGATGAATGAATATAAATGTATGTGAAGGTTTTATGTAATGGTGGTAGCAATATCGGATATGAACTAAGTTAGCGTGAAACAAATTGACTATATTAGTGACGTAATCGGTAGTAGTTGTCGAGACTCTACTGGACAGTGTAACAAGATTAGCCCTAAATGTGCAGCATATAAACATTCGGTTGCTCAGGATTACATCAAAGTCGAGTTTGTGCTGTTTCCTCGACTTTTTTCACCGGTTTTTCGACCGGCATGCTACAGTGGTGCACGCCTTAGCAACATAGGACGTTCTGTGACGTAGCTCCGCCCCCGGGTAGAATGTAGTTTTTAAGTGTACTAAATTGAACATTGGAATAACGGGAAATGATACAGAAAGTTAAGATGAACAAATAAACAAGAACATTAATTTTGATCGATGTTTTTATTTTGCTAGTTAATAACACAATCGCATTCCATATAAATCGTTATCGTGTGTGGGGGAGATTCGTTCGTTTTCTTGATCTTTATATATAACCATGACTGTTTATAGTACACTGTATGTTCGTGTTCACATTATTGACAGTATATTTCTTAGAATCATCATTTTCACAAAATAATATATGTTTTCGCCTGTATGCATGTAATACTATGTGTCGTCACTGATTGGCCGTTTCCATGATTTCAGTACATCACCATGGGTACTCGCATGCGCAGACATAAATCCCGCCCGCATCCCTTCAGACCGATTCACTAGTCGATTATTTGTAGATTTTCAAGTTCTCATGATAATATAATCTAAATATTTGTTTGTCTAAAACGCAATGGTTCGTATTTAAACGTTTTAGATAATTAAGGTTTAATAAAATACCTATTACCAGTAACACACCATCTTGTACTCTTGATTGTGTCCAAATTATTTATATTGGTGAAATCTCGTGTGTAGTCTGGTAACATATCACACTGATGTACTGATAAGTGATATGGAATATATAAAACGCAAATCACCAAAGCGTGACGTCACACCTAGGTGAAAACTTGGTTATGTATATGATAAGTTGGTTTATTACCCAATTACTCACAATAAGTGCGTTATGATACGCAAACGGGGAGGAGTGTAGCGTGGCTAGGATGATTCCTGGGTGCATGACGCACTAATTCCTTACGCCTAAAATTCAACCAAGCACATCAAACATCGTGCAGTTATTAAATAGCTTAATGGTTGTCATGTTAATTATTTTTATTTTTATTATGAGAGTGCAAGTGAATAAGTAATTGACTGTCATTACATGAAGAGATGACATGAACATATCTGGTCTTTTTGCTGAAATACACTCGAAGAAATAATATTTATTTCACAGTTCTAGTTCGTCTCTTACTAGTAAATCGAAAGTTTAGGGTTGTTTGGCTATAAAAAAATAAGTTTGGTTATGAACAGTAAATATATTAATGTTTGTGGGGTAAAAATGTAATGATTTAAATAAATGTCAAACTTACATCACAAAGACATGTTAAAATACATTTGTATCGCAAACAAGAATAATAAATATGCCTGAATGCAGACAGAGCTAATAGTATGTGGTATTATAATATTGCTTGATGAGAATCACACTAATAATTAATATGGTGAATTGCTTTGCTTATAAATGATACCATAGTGTTACTGAATTTTCCAATTCACGTTGTTATCATATTTTCATATGAGGGCGCTGAGCATACCGGGGTATCATTCTGATAGGTCGGTTCTTTGTCTATCGTCTCATATATAGGTGGCACAATATCATGTAAGTTGAGTGGTTTATATTTATTTTCATCAGCAGCAGCATTATTCCCATCGACGGCTCTGGAGTGTGTTTTCTTGCAATTTCTGTAAGTAATGATTAATTCACAAAGCTTAACAGTACATAATTTGAAGATAAAATGTAAGCATAACATATCTGCGTTATAATATGCACCTATAATATATTATTATCTAACATACAGGAGACGAATAAAATAAAGCTTACCGATTTTTAAGGTAACCAACTATCAGACTCACGCCAAATCCCAAGCACAGACATATCACAGCCACGCCAGCAAACATGCCTGTGATCAAAACAAAATTGAACGTCATAGACTCCAGAAATGAATAAGAAACTGGGACAAAAATAAATGGAATCAGAATATAAACAGTACAAGTTTGGTTATACTAACTCTAATTTATAATGGTAATGATTAATAAATTTATTTGATTAAATTATCACATTATTTGTCACACAATTGGTTGATCCATTAGCTGTGGACCAGAGTTGTGATTCATACGAGACTCGATTTCAAAATGAAAAGTATTTCACACATTGGGCGTTTATGTTCACCTGGGGATTTTTTTCAAGCAAGTATGCCAGCTGAATTTAAAGACAGTCGCCAATTCTGATCTAATTAGCAGCATAGATAATTCTAACCAGGATTAAATTGAAAAGTATTTATATCGTTCTCTGGGGTCCATTGGCCAAGTCCATTTCAGAAGTCATCAATGATTTAAAAAACGCCAGTAAAGCTGGGCATAGCAGATCTGGGATAGATGTTCAAACAATGAACTACATAGCTGTTGACAGGATGTTACTCGTAACACAACGCAATCGATAATGAGACAAAATACAATCCGTTGAAAGAAAGGCGCCCTCACGTGCGATTCCTTCCCTGCGTGACACTATGGGTTTATTAATAAGCACTTACGATATCAAACTATTGTATTAGAGTGTCGGAAAAAAGTAAAAATAACCTGGAATTGATACTGTGCCAGGACTTTCTTCTAAATGTGGTATATTTGTAATCGGTGAACTATATTCACTCTGGTGCAATGTTGAAGTAACTATTCCTGCAAAAAGAAACTCATAATATGCAATAAGATTAACCAGTTAGGTTAAAAGACACGAAAATGCAAATGCATGCAAATTATGGACACAAACATTAGTTATGAAGCATAGTCGGTAATATCGTCATTATAATGTAAACATTTAAAACGGGGAAGGTGAAGTTATTAACGTAGTTTTGCAAAATAACATCTACTTACTTTTGCATATAATGTTGTCATGATTCCATTGACCTCTACTCTCACACGTTGTAACCATCGATGTCACAGCTTCATACCCTCTAATACATGTATAATTACATTGGCTACCATAATTCACACCATCTGAGCAAGATGGCCATTCAGTATTTGACCCAGGTGGCGGAATATCACAATGGGTAACTGCAATTACCAATCAAACAATATGTATCCTATGTTGTTTCATTGTTTTGATATTACGGGATTATATTTGGCCACAAAAACATTATAGCATACGCCTGGAGGCACGTTAAGGAGTTCAATGTGGAGGTAGGTGTCGACATTTTTGATACGATCATGAATACTAGTCCATAAACATGGATGAACTAACAACAAATACCTTTGAATAAGAATTTTATTGTTGCTTTTTAGTATTTCCTTAATGAACATAGACCATTGTACATACCGTCGCATATGATACTAGTTACATTCCATTCTCCATTTGACTGACATGATGTAACCAATGGTGTCACAGCTTCATGTCTAGTATCACATGTATATTGACATTGGCTACCATAGTTCACGCCATTTGTACAAAATGGCGATCCAATATTTGTCCCTGATGGCGGTACATCACATGTTATCCCTAATAATAAATGTAATAGGGTTAATTAATTAATTGGATCTTGGTACACACAGGATAAACTCGTGCTGTGAAATAACAATAATGTCAAATACTTTTTTATTTATGTGCACAATACCTAGTTAGTAGTAAATGTGTACAAATACCAGATCTATATGAACTAGTAATGCCCATCATTCATGACCAACATTATTCAAAATATGCCACCAAATGTACATCTATAACATATCTGAGAATTAGGTATTTGGATAATTAATACGGTCACACGGCCAACAAATAGTGTTAAATAGTCTCCCGCGAACCTCGCCGCCAATATTCCTAAAGGTCAAACAAAAGCACACAACCATAATATGTCAAATCATACTAATTTTAATAATACAATCAGCATAAACCATTAACAAGAGTAATATAAATTACACACCGGTCAGCAATATATTACACTAATAATAATGAGGTCAATACATGTCATGTACATAATAGCCTACTGTTTGTAAATGTGTGTGTATAATAACTTTTATAAAAATAGGATTAGAAAGTAATAAGGTCACAAGACCAGTTAGTACACAGGCAATACTGTCAGCTCCCTGCTAGTAATTCCACACACAAAACTGATATCCTTATTTGTAGACATTAACTGTGTACCTGTCAAAAGGCTACACGAGATGAAAGTTCAGTCATTGAACAGTTACAATAATTGCAATTCACAAAGAAAAATGATATATGGAACACAAAGTACCAAAATATCAAGACGTAATATCAAGTATTTGCGAAAGAGTGAAAATATCGGTAATATATGACATCCAACTTTATCCCAACGTTTTCACGCTTCAACATTCCAGGAAACATTCCACTTTCAATTGACTTGCTTAAGATAGTGGATAAAGAAATTAGTTCAGCACAGTCCTTGAGTAGAACATCTGATGCATTATCTTAGCCAAAATGCGTTTCGTGGATTGAAAGACACTAAGTAATGTATGAATGTCAATGGAGAAGATTACTATTTTGCTATAAACACGTTAATTAGCGCCAGGTTCTTCATAGAAGTCATATGCCCACTTTCCGTGCGTAACCTTTATTTAAAATACAGAAAAATTACGTTTTATTTAATTATGACTAGAGGCGAAGTAGAGATAGAAGTCCAAGAACGGATATTAATTTGAATAATTGGAAAAATCATTCTGCTTACGGATACGTAATTTATTAAAGTGTTCCATGTTTGCTTATACGGAAAAAATAAATTAAACGTTTCATTCTAGGCGAGCGCCGCCATATTGGATAACGCGGTTCACAACAATCACAAATATTTGAAACTTTTTGAAAAGAAAGTCAAGTCAAGGCCTAGAAAATTTTATATGAGTCTGATTATTTGTTTCTGAGATTTGGGTGACGAAATAATCCGTTGCAGAAGAAGTAAAGACAACAATAACAATAGCACTTTAAGCCACTTAATTGGAACAATAGCTACACCATTACATACAATGGGCATTGTTACATTATTCAAGACATGGTGAATGTAGTATTATAGTTATGGTGGGAATATTTAGCCTGGTGTATTATATAGATATTGGTTTAATGACAAGCTTGTAGTTTAAAAACTGTAAAGTTTGTGAATTGATTAATCTCAAAATTGTATGTGAAAAAAGGTTATATAAACAAGACTTACTGTTGCATATAATACTAGTAACATTCCATTTACCATGACTCCCACATGTTGTATCCATCGATGTGACAGCTTCATACCCATTAACGCATGTGTATGTGCACCGACTGCCATACTTTGCACCATTTGAGCATGATGACAATTCAGTATTTGACACAGATGGTGGTATGTCACACGTAATAACTGTAAATAACGAACAAATCATATTGTGTTTAATATGTTGGTGGAACATCAATCGTAATTCTTGCATTGAATGATTGGATAGCTACCAACTGATAACATAGTATACATTCAATCATGGGTTAATGTATATATATATATCATGTGAAAAGAGAAAATACGGTGATAAATAACCACTACTATGTTACATTGATTAACATTAAGGTTCTCACCTGTACAATTGATTATGCTTGGATTCCACTGTCTGTTCAGTCCACAAGTTGTGACCAATGACGACTCCGCTGTATAACCACGAATACATGTATATATACACAAACTGCCATGATTCATATCATCCGTGCACGATTTCAGTTGAGCATTTATCACAGATTGGGTATCACATGCTGGAAATAAACAATGATAAAGGCTTAAAGAATGAATGCGTGCATTTACTGTCTGGACACATAAGTGAAACAGGCGTGTGGTGAAGGCGGCATTTAGTACTGACTATTGCACTGGTGGCTGATACTGCCGGAGTTGATAACTATACCAAGCATAAATGTTGTTGAACCTAGTAGTTCATGTGTTCAGTGAGCATCCTTGTTTTATTTATATATGCATATAATTGTAATGAACTATATTGGTGCCCATCAGTCTAAATTATTTCTTCGTTACACAATTCGTTCATTTTAAATTGCACCCTTATTGAAAGTATAGGTTTTCACTATGAACCAGTTATTTAGCGAAGCATACACACCATCTCCTAATTGCTCACAATTAGTGTATATCATATGAGAGTATAGTTTTCTGCAACAAACAAGTTATACAATTATGTATCCTTGCTTCATCAACTTAGTGTAAACAGCTAGATATCATCATCGTCAATCACATGATATAGTTTGTTCAGATTAGACAGGCAGCAATGCTAACAATATCATTTATTACAGAGTACTGTGGGAATGAAAACAAATTCCTCCAGAAATTTGTACACTTCTACAACATAGATAAAAGTCACGAAACGCGATAATGGTTTAGTTCAACGAATGTACTGAATAATGTCTGATATATATGACAGGAAACTCAAATTGTTAACAATCATACGGTACTACCTGGGCGACAATAATGATATTCTCTAATTCAAAAATGTCTGTGTTGTTAGATTGAACATTAAGGTAACGCATCGGATGTGTTCTTGTATTTGTATTTGGAAATGAGAGATTGGCCAGCTCGTGTATATACAGAACTATTATCCACATAATTCTTGTGAATGAAGATTTTGTAATAACTGTTAATATTTTTCATTTTGTATAGCAAAATGATCTAGATATTTCTGCATTATTATCAGTGTAAGTAGTTTAAAATTACGACTCACGGTAATACTCGCACACATAATTCCTTGTTAATGTGCATGGACAGTCATTCCATTTAAAATCATATTCATAACTGCAACAACAATATAAGAATAATAACGCTATTCAATAATAATAATAATAATAATAATAATAATAATAATAATAATAATAATGGTATTCAACTGTGCATTCCATGCCAAAATCTGAAACAACACTATAATATCAAACCATTTATCTTCAGACAATAAAATAAAAATCTTATATATTAATATTTACCTCATCTCAACACAATTTTCTCTGCCACTACCATCGCTAGGTTCACCATCACGCCAATTTGTATACGTTGCATCGCGCCCCGTCACATACTTGTATGTTCCTTCATTGTATAAATCATTTACACCGATCCACACATTGCCTATAAAATATTTTCGAAGGTACCTTGGAATAATTACTGAGCCAAAAACAACTGATAAGCAACAAAATATTATGTATCGGAATTATCCAAAAAATAATTGTATTTGAAGTATTCAGACGCATTCAAGAAAAAAATTACATGAAAACGGCATCTTATTGATGGAATGTACTATAAACTTTTATATGGTGAAGTCGAAATAACATATAATGTCACGTAAGTTGGTTAAAATTCAGCTTATCCGAAGAGAGGCAATGTAATCTCACACAAATAAACAACTCAAGTTAAATCTATGTGTGTAAACGTTTCAAAGATTAGCTGAATTCAATATGTATTCACCACCACTCGTAATCCTAATATTTACATCTCTTTTGTCCAAGTGAGTGCAAACAATTCATATTTCTTTTGCTACTAGCTACTAATTATTCATTTTGTCCATCAGTATAAAATAAACATCTGTTACACAAATTATTGTATTATTGTATGCCCAGCTTGCTAATATTGACTATCTATCTTTGTGTTCAAAGACACTAACAACGGAGATAATATGGAACGTGTTACGTATCATATCCATTTGCCATTTACGATGCCACGGCGATGCAGGCGGGCACCCTTAGGGTGCTTTCATGCTCGCTACGGTAAATAATAAACAAGCTATTCATTTTCACTCAACGGTTCCTACGAACTGATGACATCACTAAATTACTAGTGCCATAAATGCTACTACTGGTAATAAATTGATACAATTCATCGTTTCGTGGGAATTCTTTCTATTTCTAAAACTTCGTTTGAAAGCGACACTTGGGAAAAGCAAAGCTCAGTTCATCGCCTGCTATGTGAATTCACATCTGCGATTGGATAAGAACCCAGTTAGATTGCGAAGTTTTTTACCATGGATTGTTTTCTGCATATGGACCCGGGATCAATCTTTTTTCGGTGAGATAGTGATAGACACTGAATACTCTATTTTCCCGATTGCTTTCTCCTTCGATTATGGTTTGCATTCCATTGTATTTTGTTGCATATACACTTATTTCTTATCCCCTATTACGTATTCATTCGTATATTCAGTTATGATTTATTTTCATTTATTTTTGCCAGTTGTTTCGTCGGTAGAAATAAAATCTTGAAGATCAAGTTCTGGTTGAGCTACTATTTCTTATTACCCACTATATTAACCACTTCGTGTGCTCCTATACTTCAATGAAGACTTCTAACGTTGTAGTTGGACAGACTCTATTTATTTTTTAATGTATACTAACTTAACATGTAATACGACGAAGGCATGTGAATATCAATTAAATTAAACGCAGTACTATGGCACAGGTGCTCGTCTGTAACAGGAAATAAACAGACCACCAGACTATAGTTGAAATCTGTAAAGTTCTTTTTTAATCCAATAAGCATTTTGGTACTCATCTGTCAGAAATACCTGTTAGATTATAAAATGCGAACAAGACTTAATTTCACACACAGATTTATTGAAGTGTAATATGATTATCCAGCGCAAGAGGAATTAAGGCCGCCAGTACTTGTTAATAATAATATTTGATCTAGCAATGGTGTGGCTAGCACCTTTCTACTATAGATGTACAACCATTCCAATGCAATGTTTGGCTACAAGGCAGATCTTTCTTCCCCATCCACCTTCCCTTCACAGTATATTTGGCTCACTTTGTTATAACTTTTATCTATTTTGTGTAGCTATTCATGCGTTTTTTGTATCCAAACTGAATTTCCTTCGCTAAGGATATGGTAGTATGGTCAAAAAGCAGTCGGTCATCTTTGATCTGATTATGGAACAATGGTAATGAACATGTATTACTATATTTATGATGTGTGTGTCAAACATGAATGAAACAAAACAGCCTGTAAGGCATTTCATCACGGTGTGGAGGTGTTTAATCACTTTTATAATTTTATTTAATGTATTTCCTGGAAACCTATGTGGATGTACTGAATCACTGTTCTCTCATAGGGGGTGTTTAGAGTCATGTGGTTATCAATTTGGATGCAACCGCGTTTTGGATGCTTGAAATCGAATAAATGCGTTCCTGTATAGGGTTGCGTTTTAATCAAGTTTAATTAAGTTAATTAAAGAAAACTTGAATATCCCGTGACTGAACATAGAAATATTTGCAAAGCTTAGGTTTAGTATCGTGGGAAGGTATGGTACAATTATATTAATATTAATATTAATATAAACTGAACCATATCCCTTGATACAAAACATAAGCTACGCAAACGTATTAATAATCGAATTAACTATTAATATAAATTATGTTTTCCGAGGAATATGAAAATGGTCCTCGGAAGGTGTGTATGTCCTCGGAAGTTGGTATACCTGTGTATTTTGGTCCTCGGAACATATAGCACTGCAAGTACACGTTTTCGTAATTTCTCTCTAAGCCCATGCTAACGAGCTGTGCGTGAATACGTATTGACTTGTTTAAAATGGGAATGACCTGGTCGCTTACTAAATCAGTTCAGTTCTCCGCTCATATCTATACACTAAACATACTTTCAAATATGTTATTACATTATCGGTTATTTTGTGTTACATTATCGTTTTTTGTTGTTGTTGTTGTTGTTAAATTATTGGTTGCTAATTGTTACATTATCGGTATTTATTACATTATCAGGTCCAACACAACTCACTGGCTTGAAAAACATAGCCGTAGCCGTAGTTTTTGTTGTTGTTGTTGTTGTTGTTGTTAAATTATTGGTTGCTAATTGTTACATTATCGGTATTTATTACATTATCAGGTCCAACACAACCCACTGGCTTGAAAAACATAGCCGTAGCCGTAGTTTATGTTTTGCAAATTACGAGATCTTTAACAAAAATAGCAGATGATTAGTGTCGCGTGATGAACACTAAATTTGCACAGCTGTAAAGTGACATTGTGTCACACGCAACGTAATATTACCGTAATTGGTATAGTACAGGTGTGATGGTTCAAATACCAAAATGGCAACAGTAACAGAAAGACTTCCCTGGCGGCGATGATAAAATACGAACACGGAGCCAACAGATGAGGTTTCAACTGGTACTGGTATTATTATACTCTGCAAACATCAAGTACAATAGCGCGGTAAAACTCCACTACTCCAATAACTAGATACTTAAACTCCAATACAATTCAACAAGATCTCCGATCTGAACTCAGTGCTGAACAACTCCCCTATATATACTCCCACTGTCTATAAATAGACCATTACATCAGCATACATAATGAGTCTGGAACTTACTACCAATTTCTAGAATGTTCCATTACCTTCTAATGCCTCCTACAGTGTTCTATTACCTATTCAACCAGTTTCTAAACAAAATCTAGAATATTCCACCCAGACACAGTACGATTCTAGAACATCCTCAGTGACACGGAAGTAGTAAATAAGTCGTATGCGACACATTGAGAGAAATTAAAATGTGTCAAACTATTTCCTAGATTACTTTTTCAACGTGTAGTAGTTAAGTTGGGGCAATGCGACTAAAACTGAATCTAGGAATTCAGCACTCAACTTTTTAAAACATGGTGCATGAATACATCTGCTGAGACGCATTCAAGTTAACAGACTACCGAACTACGAGGAAACAGCTTCTTATCACAAACATAATTGCGCAATTTATTTGTTTTCAGGAAAAGTTATATTTTATAAATGAACATGTCACACATCTTTGATACAGACACGTTTTTAAAAAGCTTGAACCCTATATAATTAATAAATATGTAATTTACCGAGTCTTTTTGTAGCCATTTAGTCACAATCGGAAGATGAAAACAACTATTCAAATTAAAGCCGCAAGCGGCGTCACAGGGACCCAAGCTATCAAACATATATTCCATAAATAGTGAGGTCACTAGATTGCCATTAGGGTAGTTTGAATGACCTGTGCCATGATGTCGTATGCAGTTGATTCCTTGTATTTACTTGGTTTGATTATCGAGATATGGTTTTCAGAATATATAATGAGCCATTTGTTTATGCATGATACTGAGGTTATGATCTCTTATGTTAGTTACATCTTCCGTTTTATTATTTCATTATGGCACTGGTTGCATGTCCTGTTGCTAGTTATTTTGAAGATTCGGCTGGGCTTTCTTGCCAGGAATCCCAGGGCGTGACCCTGAGCCGACCGTCATCCCACGCCTCACTATCATTGTGAGCAAGGAGGACTGTCAGGAGCGAATTCTATGCCCAGTTCGAGCTCTGAGCTGGTACTGCGATCGCACCAAGGTGTCTAGGGGAAATGAGAAGCGCATGTTTGTCTGTTATGGGCAGGGCAAACTGAGCCACCCTGCTTCGAATATCATCATTCGGTTGTGGATTGTTGATACGGTCGTGGAAGCATATAAGTTAACTGCTTCTTTATTGGTTTGTTTGGAACGCCACCAAGTGAAGGCACACAAGGTGCACAGTGTAACTAACTCATTGGCTTTGATGTCTGGAGCCTCGCTGGAGCAGGTGCTTCGAGCAGGGTTCTGGAGATCTCAGAATGTCTTCATTAACTATTACATGATAGACCTCCAAGCGCTGCAGGAGAGTTTCTATAGGTTGGGTTCAGTGGTGACGGGTCAGACTGTGTTCGCTGACCCAGCCCGCACCACCAAGGGGCCCTATGCACGAAAGCGTTAGCACGATAGTGTCTTCAGCCGAAATTAGCCTCTTTTGCTTGACACTACCGGTTTTGTTCAGTGCTATCGAACCCTAGTATTATACTGTTTCGATGCATTAAAATTGTCGACCGGCTTTAGTAAGCCTCCCTAAATTGTGGGGGGTCTACCCTTGAGGCACCCGTTCCCTGAAGAGTCGCTTAAGTGGTTTTATCCTGGGACTAGACTCCTTGTTGGGGAGTAACTTTAGATTTCTCAGTTTTTTTACCTTCCTTTTTGGTGTTGTACAAACCCGTTTGTTTACCTAATCATACATACCAGAAAGTCTGTGGAAACCGCGCACCTCAACACAAGCTTCCAGTTGGTGCAGCGGAAACGTTTGTGAGAATGTCAGATCAGGCCTCTTATGCATGATCACCCTGCGGGGTGACCCTGAGGAGGGGCCTTTTTTCTATAGGGAATGCTACCCTAAGGTGTTCTTTGTGAACAGGGTATATTCCCTAATAGTTTCCGATCGGGGCTGTAATCTGTAGTCAAGCCTACGAGTAATAAATGTAATTTATTATTTCCACGGACTTTCTGGTAGGTGATGTAGTAAACTGTAACTCCAATCGGACCAATATAACACACATAACTGCTTAGTTGATTGGAGCATTCAGAAGAAACAAATGCCCAAACTTTTGGTTAATTTTGCATAAAATCCAAGATTGCGGCCAAATCATGTGAATGATCTGAAATCTGTTTCAGCTTCCTGAAAGAGTTCGATATAGAGATGTAGTTTAACAAACTAGAAGATAATCGACTAAGTGTGGCATGAGTAAAAAACTGCTTCCTGTTTAGAAGAAATCCAAAATGGCTGCTAAACCATGTGAACAAATTTTCCAAACTTAAATGTGCTTCATATCTAGACGCCAAATATTATATATGAGAGCATTTTGCTTGGAGGTTCAGAAAAAGAAGCTTTTCAAGTGTTTTTTGTCTTTTTTAAAAGAAAACAGACCGCTAAAGTTGTTATTGTTTATATCTGTTGCTCATGAGTTGCAATATATGCCATAACAAATTCAGATCACCTCGACCCTCAGAAAGTGGTGAAATAGCCACCGTTTTAATTTCAATCCAATATGGCTGCCGAACCAATTGTCCAATCAAAATTCTGAGTTGGGTGCAGCAGTTCACATTAGGGACTATCAGTATAGAGCATTATCAGACCATTCCGTTCAGCGGTTTTCTCAAACGGCTTTACGAAAAAAGTTACGATGGACAGAAGAAGAAGAATGAGCTGGTTGTTAAGTTGTTATTGCTAGTCTTTTGTACATTGCAATTTTCATTCATATTTGCATGTACCAGTGCATTTTTGATTCGTAGCTTACCTATATCTTGAGACAGCAAATCTTTCACATCTGAATTATCCTGATGAGAACGGATCACTGCTAGATGAGCATTCCTAGACTCACAATCGTCTCTTGCCTGATACCATGTGCGCTGCTTTTGTATAACCTTATATCGGTCTTTCAACAAAATTGAGTGAAAAAATAGTTTTATTATTCATTGTCAGAAACGCTACGATACATTTTCATCTTGCAGAACTGATATGACACTATAATTATTGTCATAGAATTGTTGAGATCAAATCGTAACTCAAATGTTTTCCAGTGATAGCTTTTAGTCCGGCTCATATAGTATATGTATTGACTGATATAACTGGCTTTCGAAGTTGCAATCAGTTAAATTTGTGTATTGGGTTTGAGTAGTAATATTCTCAAGAGCGAATATTCGGGCATTTTCACGTTTGGCAACTATCTCCGGTAAAAACAAAGACCGAAAACGCTCAGAAACTGTACTTTGGCTTGTTGCTGAGACTCTGCTGAACAGTGTCCTATAAATTCGGTTGCTTAGAATTGTCTTACAGTTAAGTTTATGCAGTTTAATCAACATTACAGTGGTACGCGTCTAAGTAACATAAAACGATCTGTGAGGTAGCCTCCGCCCCGATAATAACAATAAACACAGTCTTTGCATAAACAATGTATACACTCTACTATAGAAGGCCGAGCGTTTCAATACATTTGTGTTTGTATTAGTAAAATCCAATTTGTATTAGTAATACAAATTAGCATTTGTTTCTTGTTTTTGGAAATGTGCAGTTGTATTCGTAATTTTTTTATTTGTATTCATAAATTGCATTTGTAAAATATGTAATAAGTGAGTATATAGGGCATTACTTTGTTAGTAAACAACCATTTGTGTTCATGGCGGCAAGTGTCAGTTCGCTTTGAGTGCTTTGCCAAACCATCGGCTTATAATTCCATGGCCAAGCAAAAAAATGTCTTTATGGAACGGTGGTTCGTCTGTCAGAGTGCGCGATAGTGCCGGTGTACAAACCAGACCCACAACGGTGCGACCCTTTTTGTAAATTAGAGGGTACATATCTCTGTACGCCACCCCGTGGCATTGGTTGAAAAACAAAATAAATACTCGGATTTAGACCAACAAAATACCTCCCACCGAAGATTACACGCTATTGATTACTCGACTGCAACTTGACTTCGTATTTTAATTCTATAATGATATCATGGTTATCACACACACTTTTCCGACTATAGTATGAAGATATAGATGTAGGTTCGTGGACACTTGGAAGTGAAATTGTTTGTTATTATCCAAATAGTCTTGGCTATAGACTTAAAATTTCGCAGCATTGTGAGTATTGGAATATAAAAGTGGATTTTAAAATATATGAATGCTTAGCAAGGCTGTACATAATTAATCAAAAAGAAACGTGGTGCAGAAAAGTAATGACGTAATCATATTATGCACTAATTTAACTTTTTACAAAACAATAATAGGTTTAAATTTGGAACTGTTACAGTCATTTTAATTGAGCATTAACACACTTCTTACTATGAATGGTTTTCAGTTTACCAGGAAAGTTCAAGTCTAATTAGCTCTCACAATTGTTGTTTATTTGAAATGAAACTTTACACAACTTGTACCAGTTGTTAATTAACAATGGTCGTCTAGGCCTATATATAGTATGTTTTGTTTTCATATTACAAATTTGTCAAAACGAACTAAGATAATGCACGTTTTATGAAAGTGACGTTAATCGTCCAAAAAATGGATATTCCATTACGACGACATGCCAAAATCCATCATACACCGACGCTTGCTGATGGTCAATCGTCAGATAAAAAAAATAAAATTAAAATATTTACAATACGAGGGAAACGGGCGTAAAATCGTCCGCGGAGTCAAAACCTTCCGTGAAAACTGTCATGGCGTAGTGTTATAACTTCCACTAGGGGGGGGGGGCGAAACAATGGATTACGTAAAGCCGATGAGATGTCCATACAGCTATATAGACATAGCGATCACCATTGGATGGGTTGAGTATAAATTTACCTTTCCTCAAACCTTTAACAATAATTCTTTGTATGACGTAGTTTTTCGCGATTTCCGGTGAAATGGGCCATGTAGTGTTAGACGGCCAGATTGAAATAGGCCGTAACATTTTTCTATACAGCGGCTATTTGCAGTTTTTACTACTCAATCGCTCAAACGCCGGTGACAAAAAATCGAAATGGAAGGAAAACTGTTGTAAACGAGACAGGTTTCATTCAACTACAGACGAGACAATAGACTGGCGCAGTCGGGCGATTAATTTGATTTTAATTTTAGTTGAAATAAAATTAAAAAAATTCGCGAAATGGAGGTGTTAGTGCGAAATCACCCCGACTGGTTTATTCTGCATGGTCCTCTATCGACACTGCAGGAACCCGTTGATTTTTCAACGGGTAATTATGTTAATTCTAATTGACAATCATCTAAGCCAATCACAACGTTTCTTCAACTGACCTCTGATCGAGAAGATTTCGGCTAATTGTAGCAGCCGATTATTTTTTTTTTAATTCTACTAGTACGAATTACTTGTTTATACATTGTGATGAATTAGAAACGACGACTACGACAAACTCGAATTTCAATGTGCCGCCGTGTTGGGTCTGCAGTGTGACCTTTACTATGCTGACCTCATTATGCACGTATTTCCGCGCCCACCTCATTATAATATGTGATTCATGAATATTTAATAGCATTGAATTTCCTGCACAATAAACCAGTCGGGGTGATTTCGCACTAACACCTCCATTTCGCGATTTGTTTTATTTTATTTAAACTACAAAAACAAATTACTAGTAATCGCCCGACTGTGCCAGTCTAACGAGACAATAACAATTAAACGAACTCTAAACTCTCGGAAATACCTCATTAATAGAGCGCCTTAGTATCAGAGGTCGCCGAGCATGGCCGTACAACTTACTTTGCGACAGATGCATGCTAGCTGACAAGGGGGTTTCCGATTGAGGTAACCAATATCGCACCGAAGAGTGCGTGATTTTCCCGCGGTGTTTAAAAACAGCATGTCGTTGCCGATTTTTCTGCAATTTCCAGAGTAATTTTAATTAACCAAGCATTTTACCTTTGTGTATTTTTGCCGCTGAAACGTCTTGAGGTGGGTAAAAATGGTCGAGGACAGGAAGTTACACATTGCCAGACATTGTTTGTACACATTAAAACTGAACACGCACCCAACGCTTATAATAGTAGCCTTCCGTTATGATTTATAAATTGTAATTACGAAACTATTCAGTAAATTTATTGACATGGTAATAAAAATTAGCAACAGGAAACAGTGTGTTGATCAAGGAGAGAATTTTATAGCATATGTCTTTCACGGGTTTCTTTATCAGATCACAGGTTAGTCACAAATACCAACGTCACGAAGTTTATTCTATAGCTTTAACAAATACAGGTCGGTATAAACATATTTATGAGATGGTTGGTGATAAACCGAAGACTTGTTCACTATTGCGGATGTCACTTCCTTCGTCAATTGAATCATAATATTTTCATATAAGCGTCATTATAAACTGTAGTTTATACTACTCTTTTGTACTTACTTATACTTATATTTGTGCCTATTATTCTAAGCATGGTGCTTACTTTCGACAATGAACCGTTTTCGTAAACCACGGGTCCGGATGTATAAAAGGAAAGATGGTCGCCAGTTTTCAGTATGCAAATGACACTCAAGTGTGAAACGTCGCTTCGGGGTGCTCCGCAAAAACACTCCTTTCGCGCAATCTTAAAGTCTGTGGTGCTTTATTTTAATGTTGTACACAAACATGAATATATCCGCGATACAATTTCGATGTTAATTTACAAGTTCGGAGCGATGTGTGGGTAAGTTTATATAATTACGGAGTTGATGATGTAAGTGATATCACGGAGCTAATAAGAAATGATATGCCGTGAGATGTTTGTCCGGTCACTTCAAGGGCATCGTCGGCGCTCCACGAAGTGGTCCGGCCCGAACGAGTGCTGTGGTGTGCACGAAATGGGGGGGGGGGGGGGGTGCGTAAACATTCCAATAACTTCCTTAGTTGTATGTGCGCAAAAAAGACGTTCGCGGATTACAGGGCTTGTAGACTTATTTTTTCAGTGGAAATAAAGGTAAACTAGG